TTTGATGGAACAATTTTTCCCAGGAATGGGGTCAATGTTGCCTATAGTATTGTTATCTCAACAGCATTGTTTTGGGCTGAGGAAGCAGTAACTTTTTCTTTCTCTCAGAGAAAGCTTACCCTCTTCCAAGTAAGATATTCATTCTTAAAGAATAATCTGTCAAAGAAGCATAATCAAAAGAAAGTGATGGAAAAGTGAAATGATTCTTTCCTAAAACTTTTTTTTTTAAAGGAGACATTGATTTGGGCATTGAAAGTGACTGATTTGCTTCTTAAATTGCTGCTGGATGGCACCAGAAGGATCTTTTCTGTCTCTCCACCCCCATCCCCCACATCCCAGAACTGGTTGACGTACTTCCAGGCTCAGTGGTCTGGAGATGGCTTGAACAGTTCATCAAAGGTTCCCAGCAGGAAGATCTTCACCTTAAGCTGGCATCTTCAGTATACAGTGTGGGCAATTGCACTGTGTTTCTCAGAGCTTCCCAGCTGCTCATACAAGAATAGCTGTCAGCATATGCCAGGGAACTTTACACGTTGGACACTTTTGATTTGCACTAAGACATTTCCTGTTGTCCCCACCAGTATAGCCCAGTTTGGGAGGCTCCCTCCATAATCCTGCAAGGGATGATTCTGCAGAGCTTTCATCTGTAATATGATCCCTGTGAGATGAATTAGAGGTGTGTCAAGGGACAATAAAGCCAAGCAATATAGTTGCTTTGCTTGACTCAAAGCACTAATGCTGCTTCAAGGCTTTGCGCAAGACCTACTTTTTCATATACTGGTACTCAATCCCCCTGCTAACTGCAGTGAAAAATCACAAATATGTTTCCAGACTATGCCCATGTTGATCTCCCTTAATACTTATCACCATGGTGTGGTCTCCATATCTGTCCAGTGGTCAGTTACTGCAACCTCTCATTAGTATGCTTAAAGAAAAACTTTATTGTCACCTACTTTTTCTAACAGGGATGCTTCCTAGAGGCATGGCTCACATATATAGCTGCCAGAAATTCTGCAATTGCAGGCACTGTAGTTTGAATAAATGCGATAAAGTTGTTATATATTTGATCTTGCTCATATCTCATTTTCTGGGAGATGCTTATTAGATCCTGCATGCCTTGTCTCCAGGGCAGCCTCCTCCTCTTTATGTACTCCAAATGTCTGATGGAGGTCTTTGTAGATATCCCTGCAGTCAGGAATAACTGCTTGGTTTTATGGAAATTTCTGCTTGACTTACAGTAAAGCCTCTGCAAATTTTAGCTTCAACATCCAAATGTCATGGCTAATCATGGTGAATAAATGTAATAACAGAATCTTTATATTGAATATAATAAAGATTTGTTCAAGATAATTTTTACGTCAGTGAGAAGTTTAATTTGTAATTAGCCATCTTGTTGGAAATTTCTGTTGAGATTTGTTGTACTAAAACAGAATGGCCAGCTGTAACTGGCAAGTAACTGAAATGGCAGGTAGAGTTATAAACATAAGCAAACAGAAGTGTCTCTCATTAGGACATAATTTGGATTTTCTTTTGAAAATTAGGAATCTGGTCTGACACCTTAAAAAAAGAATGCCACTGCAAACATAAATCAGCAAACCAGCAGGTATTAGAAAATATAAATTATTTTTCCTGTTTTGCATAAATTAAAAACAATGAGTGAATCTTGATATGAAAGGCATTTGAGAAATTTGGGTGTTTTAAAGTTGCTAAGTGAACTCAGTTGGGAAGAATATTTCTGTACTAGCCGATTAGGGGCTAAATGAACTGAATAATATGGATAATTTTGCTTCTCTCTATGTTTAGTGTAATGGCAATTATTTAAAACTGTTTTCCTTATGATAGTCTAACTAATAGCGATAAGGCATTTTTTGATTGACAACAATATATGAAAAAATCATTTAAAGTCTGAAATATATCCTTGAAGTATTTTGAAAAACTCCAGATCAAGGTATAGATGGGGAGATTCTAAACTGAAGTTGGAATATATTAATGGTAGTCAAATCTAAAGATACAAAAATAGTGGGAGTTGAAAGAATTAATAGTAATACATAGACCTGAGTTGGGAGTAGATTAGGCCATGTTAAAATATTTAAAAAGCGTAATTTATTCTTTAAGTCAGTGATGGCCGAGTGCCAAATGCAGCCCAAAACCCACTTATTTATTGCAAAGTGCCAGGGGCCCATCAGCATTGTGGTACCCTCGGGGGGGGGGGAATGCAAAAACCAGGGGCACAAAAATGGCCACCGCCACAGATATAAGGTGCTGCACCAAGCAAGAACGGGGCAGGGCTAGTATCACGCAGGCACTAGTCCCGCCTCATTTGCAGCACGTGCATACTCGTGGCCCTGTGCGCACATGCGCACATGTAAAACACTTCCCCCTGCCTTTTCTTCTAGTCTGCCAATCAACAATGGTTGGTGACCTCTGCTCTACCACCTCTACTCGAGCTTGCTAGTTGGCCACTTCGCCTCCTTTGTGCTGGGCAGGGCTCCTGCTCCAGGCGGTGGTGGCGGCCTGATGGACCTGCTGCTGGCGGCGGCACACGTGCCAACAGAGAAGGCTCTGAGTGCGGTCTCTGGCATGCGTGCCATAGGTTTGCCACCACTGCTTTAAGTCATTACTTATAAATATGCTTAGGATGGCATCATTTAAATCACAATCATGTAAATGTGCATAGTTTTATTATTGGGAAGTTGCAAAAGCACATTTAAAATCACTGCATTGTTTGGTGATAAAGTTAGGCTATGAAAACACTGCTCAGTAATGCTTTGTGTACAGAATTTTGAGGAAGACATCTGCTGTTCCATTTCCACCAATGAGCTGACTGATGCTTTTCAGAAGTACATTTAGCCTTCAAAGAGGCTGCCACTAGCCTCTACCACTAGTAGAGTGGACTGTTACATTCACAATCATAAAAGACCAAAAAGATCCTTGGTTCTGTTAAATTATTAATTCAACAATAACTTTTCCAGTAATGAGCAGTCAATATTCTCAAAAAGGAGGAAGCAAAGTGTGAAGGCAATAATTTTCTTTCATTCTTTGCTCCAATAGTTAACATTCATAACTTCTCTTTATTGTATTTATTCAAAAGAAAAAAAAGCTATGATCACTGAACTCTGTACAATGCCTAGCTTCTTCAATTTGTCAATATAAGGTTGCTTTAAATCCAATTTGGAGACCTCTCTCCCTACCAGCACTATAAATGTGCACATTTATATGTGACATGCTTTTATGTGTTTGTTTTTTGTGTATATGTGCACGTGTGTGTGTGTGTGTGTGTGTGTGTGTGTGTAGCATGTGCCTAAATGTGTAGATCCCCTGTTCCTCTCTTCCTGCTCTTGCATCTGGTTGTATTAAGTCTAGGGCAAATTATTGTTCACTTGATAATTTTCTCTGCAAGTTGGAACATTAATGAAGTAGATTTATAGTTTGTATGTATAGCTTACCTACTATTCAAATGAACTTGAATACAATTGCAAAGCACTTTTGTTGGAATATTCATGAGTAGGAAGAGTCATGTGGTAACTCAGTCAGCCAATGTGAAGAAAGTGCTACTGAGTCTGTGCAAAGGGTATTGAGTTAGGAGCTGGATTTCCAGTCTCAGGTTTGTCTCTGTATCTCTTTGTAAGAAGTCTTCAATTGAGCTATGTTGCTGTAAAGAAGAATATATGATATTGTAAATATTTTGATATAAATATAAAGAAGTTATTTTGAATCAGCTAAATGCAGTCAACTGTGAGAGCTTCTGATTCATTTTTTCACCAATAGAGAAATTAAAATTCTCTAACAGGTTATGGGCCCAGAGCTTACTAAGGACTGCATTGTAATTTAAAGCTGAAGAAATTGCCTGTGTTTAGAAAGTATAAGAACAAGGCAGAATTAGCAGGATGGCTGCAATGGAATTTAAGGAAAGCTGTGTGCCTTGTTTGGGTCAGAAGAATTACATTATATGGGCTGCAAAAATGGAATGTTTGCTGAAAGCTAAAGAGCTGTGGTATATTGTAGAAAATCCACCACAAGTATTTGCAGGTGCTGATCAGAAGAGTCATGATCAAGCAATGGCTTATCTCATCTTGAATTTAGATGATGAACAATTTCTAACTGTTGCAAATTTAAAGACTGCAAAGGAGATTTGGTTGAAGTTGAGAGCTGTGCACGTGAATGTTTCTGCATGCAATATAGTGCAATTGTCAAGAAAACTTTATAGGGCCTGTTTGCAACCAGGTGAATCTGTGGAACAGCATTTAAATAAAATGCAAAATTTATTTTTGGACTTAGAACAACGTGGGATTAAATTCCCTGAGTCCCAGAAGGTTTTATTGATGTTGAACAGTTTAGATAAAACCTGGGACACAGTTTCTGCAATATCTGAATGCAAAGAAGAGCAAGACTTAAATTTTGAGGCTTTAAAGGCATGTTTGCTTAATGAAGAAAAAAAGCTCCATTTTAGAAGCAGCCACGAGGAGGTGAAATTCCTGAGGAGGGGGTCCAGACTGCAAGTCTCCAAAGAAGAAACATTTTGCAGGCAGAGAGCTAAGCGAGAAAAGAATTGCTACATTTGTGAAAAGACACATCTGAAAAGGAACAATTTGCAGCAAAGGACATTTGTGGAAGCAAAAAGGACTGATTTGCAAAAGGAACATTTTGGTGTTACAAAAATTTATTTATTTATTTATTTATTTATGAGACTTATATACCGCTTTAAGTGCAAGCACTCTCTAAGTGGTGTACACCAGTAAGCAATGTATATATATATATTTACATTGCCCCCAACAATCTGGGTCCTCATTTTACCTACCTCAGAAGGATGGAAGGCTGAGTCAACCTTGAGCCGGTGAGATTTGAACCGCTGACCTGCTGAATACAGTCAGCTAAAGTGGCCTGCAGTACTGCACTCTAACTGCTGCACCACCTTGGCTCTATAGCAACAACAGAGACAAGTGGCTAATAGATAGTGGGGCAAGTCAAACAATTGTTAATGACTCTGAATTATTTTGCAGGTTTGTTCCAGTAACACAAGAAGCTATGGCTTCGGCAAATGGCCAGAAAGCAAAAGTCATCAGAAAAGGTGATGTAAAAATTCCATATTTGGAATCAAAGTTTACCAATGTGCTTTGTGTACCTGAGATGGAACATAATTTGTTAAGTGTGCCTAATTTAGACAAACAAGGTTCTGAGGTCATTTTTGTAAATGGGAAGTGTCTCATCAAAAGGAATGGGAATATTTGTGCAGAAGGCATAAAGGAAGATAATCTATATGTATTGCTGGGACAAAAGGTTCAATGTTCCATATATTTAAGAATGTTGCAGAGCATGATTCATGTGTTCATCTTCTACATAGAAGACTTGGCCATGCAAGCTTTAAAGTTTTGCAGCAAATGCAAGATTTTGCAGAAGGGCTAAATTTGAAGGGATGCAAAACATATTTGGACTGTGCAGTATGCACAGTCAAAGGCATTCCCAGTTAGTAAATGTAGCACAAGACAAACAAAAAGAGTTCTAGAGCTGGTCCATGCAGATTTGGTGGGACTTATGCAAGCCAGTTTGGGAGGAGCAAAATATGCACTGGTAATTGTTGATGATTATAGCAGGTATTCATTTTGCTACTTGCTTAGAGCAAAGACATAGGTGCTACAACAATTCAAACAGTGGGTAAGTTTTGTAGAGAGAAGGTACAGACAACAAGTGTGTCAGTTGCAAACTGACAGAGGTACTGAATTTATGTCAACTAAATTCCAACAATGGTTGGGGCAGTTGGGGATAAGACACAGATGTACAAATCCTTACACAGCAGCAGAGAACGGTGTAGCTGAAAGAAGGAATGGTGTTTTGCAAACAACGAAAGATTCATTATTAGAGGATTCTGGTATGAGCAGGTCATATTGGGGAGAAGCCATATTGACTGCCAATTATATAGTTAACAGGCTGTGGAGTTCCTCCATTAATAATACTCCATATGCCATTCTATATGGGAGAAAGCCATCACTGGCACATTTGAGAATTTTTGGAAGTACTGCATGGGTACATATTCCAAAAGCAATCAGAAGAAAGGGACAGCAAAAGGCAAGAAAGCTCAGGTTTGTGGGCTATGAGCCAGGGTCAAAAGGATATTGCTTTAGCGATGGAAGTAAAAGAATTGTAATTTCAAGGTCTGCTAATTTTGCAGAACAAAATTGGGACAGAATTAATGCAAATTCTGGGTATGTCTCACTTAATGACAGTGATCTATTTAACGACAATAACTCATCTAATGATGGAAAAATGATTATTGAAGATGTCAATGTTCAGGGAGAAGAGGCTGAACAAGACATGAAACCAAAAAGAATTGAGACACAGGAGCAGTTAATACCACGTAGGTCAGAGCGATGTAACAAAGGAATTCCGCCTGACAGGTATTCTGCCAGCAAGGTAAAGGTTTGCAATGTGTGGTATGAGCCAAGAAGTTATAAAGAGATGTTGGCATTACCAAAAGGCTGAACAAGAAAGATAGAAGGAGGCCCTGGATAAAGAGATGAAATCCATGGGAGACCATGAAGTATTTAAATCAGTGACTTTGCCACAGGGAACCAAAGCTGTGGGTTGTAAGTGGGTATATAAGAAAAAGATATTGCCAAATAATGATGTACAGTTGTTGCAAGATTTAAATATTAATGTAAAAGAATCTGTAAAGGTATTTGAAGACAATGCTGCCTATATAAAAATGGCAACTGGTGACAGGGTGAAGAACAGAAGTAAACATGTAGACATTAAGAATTGTAATGTCAGGGAAGCTGTAAAAGGAAAATTGATTAGTTTACATCATTGTTCTTCTGAGGATAATTTGGCAGACATGATGACTAAACCATTGGGTAGTGTTCACTATGGAGAATGTGTTAAGTCAATAGGTCTGATGTCTCTTCCTGTCATGAAGGGAGGAGTGTTGGAATATTCATGAGCAGGAAGAGTCATGTGGTAACTCAGTCAGCCAATGTGAAGAAAGTGCTACTGATCTGTGCAAAGGGTATTGAGTTAGGAGCTGGATTTCCAGTCTCAGGTTTGTCTCTGTATCTCTCTGTAAGAAGTCTTCAATTGAGCTATGTTGCTGTAAAGAAGAATATATGATATTGTAAATATTTTGATATAAATATAAAGAAGTTATTTTGAATCAGCTAAATGGAGTCAACTGTGAGAGCTTCTGATTCATTTTTTCACCAATAGAGAAATTAAAATTCTCCAACAACTTTTCAAAATTTGAGTAGAACAAATATGGTATCATCAAGATGCAAAGAGACATAAGGCGAGGCCAATATATACTGCTCAGTGTTGAGCTACTTGATCCTTCACCTGAAGGTTTGTGTTAGAGATCTATATAACAGAAAATGTGTCTATTTTGAATCTACTAACAATTGATCTATTTACAGTCTAGGTCTACTTTTGAAAAATGCTAGAACTGATGTTGATATACTCTGGGTATTCTGATAGAGTAGACTTTGGTCAATCAACGGTTAAACATTTTTTGCTCCAATTAACTAACACAGCTAATCTCTCTAGTATCTAATTTTGTGCTTGTTAAATTTTAGCTTATCAATTAGCACTTCACTTTATCTTGTCATGACCATTAGGCTGCAGTTTTATATTCTCTTTAGACATTAATGTCTAATCAAGATCTGTTGAATTAAAGGCTGACAGTGAATGTATTAGAATCTTTACAGTCTGTCTACCTATGCTTCAGTAATCTTATCCCTTTGCTTGCAGTAAGCTTCTGTTGCTTTTTTTTTTGACTTTGATGTGTTAAAAGGATTGTCATTCTTTAATAGTTTTAGCAATGGAATTATTTCTTTGGTTGCTTTGTCAGCAGTACATTTGTTCCCCTCCAATCTGCTACCGGAGTTTGTTTTATAGTCTTAATTAGGACAAAACTGCTTCCTGAATTTTGTTTTAAAATAATGCCTTGATTCTCTTTAGCTATGGAAGTAAGGTGACCAACTGTCCTCCTTTAGGGAGGACAATCCTCCTTTTGTAAGTTCTGTCCTCCCTCAAAAAGTGTTCTCCTTCATGTCCTCCTTTTCGATATTTGAAGACTGATCTGCACGGCTTTTTCCCCCCTCATAGAATGCTCAGAACAGCATTCTAGCACCTTTTTTATGTTTTTTCTTTCAACTTTTGCATGAGCTATGCTACTCCCACTATTGGCTTTTGAAAGCCAATAGGAATTGCTGCTGAGCACGCCAAAACACCCGACTGGCAAACTTTGCACATGCAAGTTGTCTGTATTATTGTTGCAATGAATAAAACGTTTCTTTTATTTACGGTATTTTTTCTTCAATTTATTTGTGTCCTCCTCTTCATTGTAAAAAAGTTGGTCACCTTAATGGAAGTGAATAATTTTTATACTGATTTTATATTTTAGAATCTGTTACAGATTTTATGTCTGAGTTATTCTTTGTATGCTTTCAATAGCAATAGCAATAGTACTTAAGACTTATATACCACTTCATAGTGCTTTACAGCCCTCTCTAAGCTGTTTATTGTCCCCAACAATCTGACTCCTTATTTTACTGACCTTGAAAGGATGGAAGGCTGAGTTAACCTGAGCTGGTCAGGAGCGAACAATACTGCATTCTAACCACTGCGTCAGGAGTGAACAATACTGCATTCTAACCACTGTGCCACCATGGCTCAAGCAATTTACAATCAAGTATAAAATGTTAACCTATGGGGAGGCAAAACATCAGAAACCTGCACCTTTTCTAATACATTTTATTAAAAGTAATATTTCATGAGCTCAAATTTATAAATTGGAAAAGGCACTACTCAATTTTTTCTGACGTTTTGCAACCAAAGTGTTTTATCGTGTAGTATGTATGTCTTTCCTCTTTTTCTGTTTGTATGTACATCCAAAGCCAGGGAATATTTGTGTAAAAAATATGTGCCCATGCACCTAAGTTCTCAGTTGTGAAAGTGTAGGCATTCTCATGGCCTTTGGAATAGTTCATATAGTAGTTGGACATTGTTTAAAGCTATATGAATGCACATAGACAATGTCTTACTATTGACAACTTTTACTTCCACTTACTGAAGAACTGAGTTTTAAATAGTAAATTCTTTTGATGTGACAACTTACTAAGCCAGGAATACCAACAACCATTTGGTTGTTCTGTGTTTGGCTGTCATTTTTATATTTATATATCACATAGGTTTAAAATTATGTGAAGGGAGCCAGTTTGGTATAATAGTAAAGGATCAGGCTAGAAACCAGGAGATTGTGAGTTCTAGTCCCTTCTTAGGCACAAAGTGAAATGGGAGACCTTGGGCCAGTCACCTTCTCCCAGCCCTAGGAAGGAGGCAATGTCAATTCACTTCTGGAAAATCTTGCCAAGAAAAATGCAGGGACTTGTCCAGGTAGTCTCCAAGAACTGAATAAATAAATAAATGGTTTTTTTAGTTCGTTTTTTGTTGTATGCCACCCAGAATCACATTATTTGAGATGGGTGGCTTTATAAATCTAGACTTTACAAATACAAATAAATAAATAATGCTGAGAACACTTGAGGCATCAACAGGAAATAAAACATTTTATTGGATATTGTGTAGTATGTATGTTTTATTTAACAACACCTTGAAAACTCTACTGTGGGATTCACTACACAAAAGTGAAACAAAAGATAAACCACCTTCATCAAAACTAAATGTAAAATACAGCTAAACTTGTCAGCTCGTGGGTCACGAGCAATATGGCAGGATAGAACACCCCAAATGTTTCTACAAGATACAGAGAAAAAACCCCACACATAGAAACACTCAAGCAGGCAGTAAATATACACAAAGGCAACTAGGATCTTTCTACAGCATCAGATTCTAATACTTTACACAGCTTTGTCAGGAAGGTACATGTGGCTTCTTTTGAGAATGAAAATGTCATCTTGGTCAAATAGCAGACTTTTCTGCTAAAAATGATGGAACATTACAAGCCAATTCCACAGTGACATTCATTCTGGCAGTGTAAAAAGAGAATCAATTTAGAATACCTTCACACAATGAATCAATTCTGGTAGCTTCGGTCTGAAATTTCTCTCCCATTATGCTGATCAACTAAAAGAAGTTACAGCAGAACTGAACCCTCTGTGTTTAGGCTCACTCTCTTTGAGAATTGGTGGTCGTATACAATTACAAAAGGACCCTCTTATATATAGTTCAGCTTATCTGATTCAATTATGTCTTTTCCTCTTTGATGTAGAATGGTGTTTCTCAATGTCAGCAACTTTAAGATGTGTGGACTTCAACTCCCAGAATTCCCCAGCCAGCAAAACTGCTGGCTGGGGAATTCTGAGAGTTGAAGTTCACACATCTTAAAGCTGCTTAGGTTGAAAAACACTCATGCAGAGAATAGAAAGAGCATCAGAATAAATAAATGTTGCTCCTTGTGGAAAGTTAAATAGAAACTGGATTAAATTGTCACAATCCATTTGTGGCTTGTGAGTTCAATTCTCTACATTTCATAAGTAACATGCCAGCTTAGAGCTCTGAAAAAGGAGATCTGTCATAAAAAAACCCCACGACTGGGGATGCCTTTTTTTCTTAAAAAAGAAAACTATATTTTGAAATTATTTCTGATGAAATTCCACACTTACCACCAAAAGTTTTTTTTTTTTTTTTAATGGGAAGGGGAGAAATGTTTTCTTGGATTTTTTATTTTTGGTGCTTAGTGTTCCTGAAAATAGAACCTGTGTTTCAACATATTAAAATATATTTACAATCTTTTAAATAAATATACAGCATTTAAATAAATTAATGAAAGGGATCTCCAAGGAAGAAAGCCCAGTTGCAAAAATAATGCTCTGATGAGACACAAGGAAATTATATAAGATAAAGTGACCATTGGTCTTGTCTGAAGGACAGCCTTTACCATCAACCTGGGGAGAGATGTGGAATATTGCACAGTGTCGACAAAATGCTGTGTTGTCAGTCCACTCTATATGATGCCTTGTCCTGTGCATAGCTCTTCAGTTCTGAATTGGTCCATAGCTATAAGAACATCTTGTGCTATGCAATCCTTCGGCAGTGCAGTAGAAGGGAATGGCAGTATTTTTACAATATCACTACAGAATAAATTGATTGATATCCACTGAGAGAACTACAGTTTCTAAGCACACACGGCAGTCACAGTGATACACAGAGCAGTCTTTTAAGACGCTTATGGAATGACTAATAGCTTCATAATTGTGCCATTTACTACATAGTAACATTGAAAACATTTAAAAACTCCTCCTGAAACGAGCATCTAGTATACATAAGAGGTTGCTTCAGTTTGCTAGAACTTGTTCTTTGTTTTGTTTCACTTTTTTTAAAGGACAAATTAAAACTTATTAGTATAAATAGTATATAAAAGGTCACTAGCTGTTATCTTTTGGCTTGCTTTGAAGTGCATTCAGAAATATGGCTAATTTTTTGTCCTCTTTTGATGGGATTGTACAATACTGTCTCGTCACCATGAAACTACTTTTGTATAATAAACACACACGGCTGTGATTTTTTTTTTGTTTTGCTTTAAAAAATATTCTGCATTCCTTCTCATCTGGCTTAGTATAATAAAATATTTTGTTACAAAGTTTAATGTGCAAACTCATTAGAATTAGAGAATGTGAGAGCACAAATGGGATTCACAGTATGCAAATTCGTATAAAGGTGATAAAAGGAGAGCTACTTGTCTTCAAGTATATATGTTTGCCACGGGTAAGAGCAGGGCGGCGGCGGCTGCTGCTACATAACCCTGAAATAATTCCCACACATAGTTTATATGGTGCTATGTGTAATATTTCATGCTCCCACCTCCCTCCCTTGATGCAACTGTACCTTCATTTCTAAATGTAAAGCCATGATTTCAGTTTGTTTATACACACACATATATATACAGAGAGAGAAAGAGGAAAAAAAGTGATATATCAGCTTCTGCTATGCTTCCTAGAAGTCAGTCCTACTCAGATCATGCAAAATTGCCCACAAGAAAAGTCTACCAGTGGATTCATTCCTTCAAGAACATATCTTGATATTGTAATGGTTCAGTTCAAAGCTCAGATTTAAGTTGTCCTTTAAGATGTCAGTGTAACACTACTAGTGCCTTACAAGTTGGAATTTTTGCTGGAATGCAGACAATAGTTACCCTATAATATAATTATCAGCTCTCCTATATCTCAGTCAATTTACATAATTTAAAATATAACATCTTATTAAAAACATCTAGATATACACAGATTAGGAAACATTTACGACAAACAAATAAACGGACTAGAAATAAATTTTTAGATACTGGTATGTACAACTGTGTGATACAATAAATAATTTCTGTCATGCTCTATCTACACATATTGCTTAAAAGAAGAGTAGATCTGAGGGCAGTGGTGAGATGGAGTGCCTTATAGGGCTTTTTCTACATTGAAGTTGTGCAAATTAAAACAAGTAGAAGTACCACTGATCTGTGTTGGGGATGCATGGCTGGAAATAAAAGGACCCATATTACTGAGGTATTTACAGATACTGGCTAAAGAGCACTATATGGGCAAATGCAGAAAGGCCTTCTTTTCACATTTCACTTTCTTCCTACTTCTTGACAGCAAGCATGGCATCTACTTCTTCCTCTGGTTGTAAGGTATGCCACTGTGCAATGGGTCGCCTTGGGTTGGCCAACATGTCTGACCAATGTCGTAGCTCTGCACCAGTGCTGTTGTAGCCCACAAAGACTTTGCCAATGGCGTCATTCTTGCCGATCTTGTCATAGTCCAAAACAGTCACAACAATTTGCACTTTCTAAACAATGGGGAGAGAACAAAGCAAAGTTGAAAAATGCAAATCCATACACTTTGCTGCTGAGGTTGTCAGAGCTAACACAACCCATGTGGTAAGTGGGCAGCAATATATGGGAAATTCAGATCTAGTTTACCTTGGTTCTCCTGCAGCCTCCTAGGAATTATATTCTATAAATCCCCCTCCAAAAATCTTATCATTGGCAGTTTTTCAGTTATATAACTGAGCCTCTTCTTCTATTATAATTTCTCTCTAAACTGGATGCTGAAAAAGTTGCAATAATCTTGCCTGGGATAGTGCCAATGCTTCAGTAATGAGATTGCACTGCCAAATCCCTCTTCTTAAATATTTATGTACTGGCAATGTAAGTCTTATGGTTGAGCACAGAGAGACATATTTTTAAACCAAAACTTTGTGTTTAAATCAACAGATACAATATGAACAGATGAATCTTCCTGCAGTCTGTTGTAACAATGCTTCAGCCTCAGTGGCTTGGTGAAATTGTGCTGAAGAAGACAATGACCCTTATCACTTCATTTATATATCAAACTGGAAAGTTAAGCTGTAATCCTATAAATAAGGATGGACAGTCCTGCTTTTTTGCCAAGCGCTGCATTCCCTTGAGACAGTGGTGGGATTCAGCCAGTTCACACCAGTTTGGCACAACGGGTAGCTACTTTTTTGTTGCCCAGGCCCAGAATGGTCTTCTGGAAGTGGCATCCACACAGAGAACTGGTTGTTCACATATTTGAATCCCACCACTGCCTTGAGAGTAATTTATAGAGGACTATATGCTGAAAGTGACTGAAATTTAAGGAAGCAAAAGAAGGGCCACAGAGAAAGATGGATGACCATTTTTTCTTTCCTAAGCTTTTTGATGTTTCTTTTTTTGTCTTCTGTTTTTATCTCATATTTCTTTTTCTGTTTACTTCCAGAGGGCTTTTGAAATGAGATAAAAGCACGGAACTAAGCTTAGTACTCTGGATTGTCAAAACCTACTATTTAGTTATGTATCTTATTATAAGTATGGTTTTAGTTACGCAGTTTAGGAGAAGAAATTTATAATTATTACTGCTCTGCCTTTAAATAATTTTGATTTGTTAATATTAATCAAATCAACTGAATAAATGGAAAACAACAAAACTGATTTTATCCTGAACTGCTGGAATAAAATCACCACTGAATTTTCTATTTAGCACTCATTGCTGCTTAATAAAGTACTCATTATGTGTTGCTTGTTTGAAGAACTGACATTCCTAAGTATTGTATTATTTATTTTTTACCTTTTGTAGCTTCCTCTCTTGTTTCACCCCATGCAGGACTATTGTATAGGTATTAATGAAGGTTCCTGAGAAGAGGAGCAGAATTTTAAGGTGAAGAAGGACTTGCAAGTTTGATATTACCTGGATTTGCTCAAATGGTACTTCAAAGCTGAATGATTCATTGTAATAAGGATTCAGAGTGTTCTTCTTAATTGTTGTCTTCTTCTTCTTCAACCGTTTTCCATTCTGCATCAGATGAATTTTCACATAGGGATCTAAACAACAACAGACACACGTTTTTCAGAAATTTAAAGCCCTAGTTTAAATCTACATAACAACACAGCAGTCAAATTTTGATCATATGACCACAGAGGTGCTGCAATAGCCATAACTTCAAGGACTAGGCATCAGTACCATTTCTTCAGCAATGTCAATGTAACTTCAAATGCTCACTGAATAAATAGTTATTAAGTGAGGTCTATCTGTACTCCCAAGTTTTTTTTTCTTAAAATCAACCCAAAAACATTTTTTTCTGTACAACTACTAATAGCTGCCTCAATTTCAATTAATAATAAATTACTAGTAGGTTTGCATGAATCAATGGCAGACATACAGTATTTTCTACAAGTATATTTCATAATTCTTGTCCTATTTCCTAATCCAGCAATCAAACATTTTTTATGAAAAGGCCACTATATTAATTGCTTAAATAGAAATTATAAATGGTATCCAAATTTTATGATGGTTAAGTAAATCAGGAATGGAGATCAACTGATTAATACATTCATATTTAAAGAAAAGGATAAAAATAGTTTAAATCTACATAATAACACAGCATGTCAAATGTCAATTGGATGGACAGGAGGAAAATGTAAAGCGATTATAATAATTGATTTTGCAATGTCAGGAGTCTGTGGCCAGGCAATCAGTGCACTTGTGCTGATTGTTGTTTACTTTCTTTTCTTTTCTCTTTATCACACTAAATTTGGATTCCTGTTGAAGCACTGGGCTATCCTTGAACAGTAGGAGATGTAGGCCACACATCCAGATAATAAGGAAAAGAAATCTAAAATACAGAATCTGAAATCACTGAAATCTCTTGAGTGCAGCCACTGGCCATTAGTGCCAGTGGTCTCTTTTAAAGGTTGGTCCTCCTGATGAGGCACTCCCTACTACATTGTAATAAGAAGGACTTGGCTTTTCATTATAGCCCTATCCTAAGGAGAAGGAAAGTTAAGTGAAACATATCCTTCGGTTGCTCTAATTAACATTCAACACATGGAAGGCTGGCAGAAGATGAAAAATTCACAATTAGTATTGTGCATTACTGATTTTACAAGACTATTGCAAGGAAGGACTAATAGAGAAGCTTTTAAAAACTGCAACTGACATGCTTTGTTTTACTGCCATTTAATGGCAAACAATGTCAGTTCATTACTTAGAGGCAAACAAAAGACTGATGTCTCAATTGAAATGAAAGCTGAGGTATATGTACAGAAATCTTGATCTCAGAACCGTCACTGCTCATATACAAAATGCGTCTCCAATATCCATAGCAAGTGGCTTTGTGGACAAGAGAGATTTCATTTAGAAAATAATGAACAAACTTCTTGACGTGACAGGCAAGTGAAAAATAAAGTGTTTTGTAGGCAGTAGCACAGTTACATGAATTATGCATCCGAAGCACCAAATGTACATGGATAAGGTAGAGTCTATGGATGCATCAGGAGAGAATTAAGTATTCCTTCAAATAAAAGCTTGAGTGACAGAACTTTTAATGCGAAAACTAAACTATATATAGTTAGGTACTATATGTTTTACATTCTCTTCTTCAGAAAGAGAAAAACCTATTCTCATGAATAGTCACTTGGGCAGAATACTAAAGAAAGACAGTGAAAGTGAATGACAAGGCTAGGACACAATGATTATACATTGAATGCAAAGATATTGATCTTTAACAAAGGTGTGCAAGTCCTGTGGGCTGATATATATAGTTCAGGTAATATACTGAAGTACATTCTGCAGCTTCTATTTGTTTGTATTTTGAGGGGAAGAAGTAGGGGTTGATATTCATGAATCTTCCATCTTATTACAAAAAGAATTGCTCTGCAGATTAATACTGTTGCAACATAGTGAACAAACACTGGAAAAAGTAGTTTAATAAGAAACTCTATCTTATAATTTTCTTGCTGCTTTGCCTGGTTGTGAAAAATTCTTAGGGCTTAGGGCTCAACTATGTACTATCTTGATGGCATAATTTTGTATTCAACAGAAAACAAAATAAGCTTTGCAGATTGTCAGGACAGGCTTCCAAATTCAGAAGGTGTTCCTAGTATAAATCTTTGGTATTCCAATGCGGTCCCCACCCAGTTTTGAACTCACATTGTAATCTCTTTCACTCATCTTTTTTGCTATGCAGACTGGAAATCTATATGCATATAAACACTGAAGGCATCTGGTTTGGGCCTGAAAATTAGGGTGTGGGGGAAAGGTGTGTACTTTGATCATTACAACACAGTTGAAGACAGAAACATATTTCTGATGGTACTTGGCTTATCCAAGTTAGTCTAAACTACCATTCCTAAGAAATGTCTTCATACTTCAACATCTGCAGAAAGAATAGGCTAACCTGGGGAGATGGTCGTGGTGGTGGAATATAAATAATAATATTAATATTAATAATATCAATACTACTACTACTACTACTAATAATAATGTTGCGACTTGGTCATTGAAACTGCACGATCATGGATGAAATGTGTAACAGTGATACCCATTGTCATCGGGGCACTGGGAAATATGTCCAAAAACTTTGCAAAATATTTCAAGAAACTGCAGCTTCCTGCAATAACTCCAGCAATGCTACAAAAAACTGCACTACTCTAAACATCTTACATTTTAAGGAGGTACCTGCTTGGTACCTAGGATGCTGGCAGCAACCCGTATCAACCATCAGCGCCAGTCAATTTGAATGTTCATTTGACTGAGGTTCACATAATAATGATGATGATGATGATGATGATGTTGGAAGGGACCTTGGAGGTCATCTAGTCCAATCCCCTGCTCAGGCAGGAAACCCTACACCATTTCAGACAAATGGCTATCCAGTCTCTTCTTAAAAACTTCCAGTTTTGGAGCATTCACAGCTTTTGGAGGCAGGCTGTTCCACTGATTAATTGTTCTAACTGTCAGAACTGTGCCCCGTTGCCTGGTCTGCTTGCTTGCCCACCGGGCTCGTCAGACCAGGACTTTGTTCTCCCAATAACCTGGTTGACTTGCCTAGTTGTAGGCTCTCTGGTCCCTCTATAAGTCTGCCACTGTTTGGCAACTCTGTAGGGCCTTCCAAGCCCACACTGGACCTCTCAAGGGAATGCATCCCTTCACTCCCCAGCCCCATAACAGGACTGTCTGGGGTTTCTGTATTTCCCCAAAACTCAGTTGCTCCCCCATCTGTGCTGGATGTGTCAGAATTGGGATTTGTCTCTCTGACCACCTCCCTGTGTGAAGGCTTCCTTCTGGAAACAGTAGCCGTACTGGGTCAACTAGACTGTTTGTGTGCCAGCTCTCTTGCAATGTTTGGGTTATTAGGATGGTCCCGGATATTCTCCCTGACTGGAGTGCTGAATGGTAGTTGTGAATGATGAGTATGCCCCCTGGGTGACTCCCTGGCTGGAGTAGGCACTGGTGCCTGTGTGATTTCTTGTTCCCATGGATTCCTGTTTGGAACACTTGCGGAACCTTGGAATAGGCCATCTGTGGCCTCTCCATTTGGCCCTGGCTGCTGCCAACACCCATCCCTTTGCCCATAGTGGTCCCCCTCCCCCCTGGAAAAGGCCCAGGAGTTCCAGAGGGTAAGTCCAGTTTCGTACGCAGCTGGTCGATATGCCGCCGAAGGACACGGCCTTCATCCAAAGAGACCTCGTATGACAAAGGGCCAGTAACCTTGCATACTACAGCAGGAACCCACAAGTGACCAGGCCCGTAATTACGGGCCCATACCGGGGCATCCACTTGCAGATACCGTGGTGCCCTGGGTTGTGTAGCCTTAGGAGGCAGTCTGTCCGTGTGCAACCTGTCAAGTTTGGTGATCAGTTTGCACCCCCAGCGGAGTTCAGCTGGGCTCTTCCCAGTGGAAGTTGAAGGTGTGGTGCAGTACGTAAGAAGAAAGTCTGCCAACCTGTGGTGCCAGTCCCCGTAGGTCAGTTTCTTTAAAGCATCCTTGGTGATGCGGACCATCCGTTCAGCCATACCATTGGTGGAAGGGTGGAATGGTGCAGAGGTGGCATGACGAATCATGTTGGCCTGTAAGAAAGCTTGAAACTCGAAAGAAGTGAATTGAGGGCCACTGTCAGACACCAAAACATCCGGAAGCCCATGTGCAGCAAAAATTCCCCTCAGTACTTGAATGGTGTTGGCAGCGATGGTTGAAGAGACAGGTACAACCTCAAGCCACTTTGAATAGCTGTCAACAAGGACCAAGAAGAATTGTCCCTGAAAGGGCCCAGCGTAATCAATGTGCACCCTAGACCAAGGTGACTCTGTTTCGTCCCATCTATGTACAGGAGCCTGGAGCATTTCTGAACGTGAGCGCTGACACAGGCATGTGTGCACCTTAGCCTCTATTTCCCTGTCTAACCCAGGCCACCACAAATGGCTGCACGCAAGCGCCTTCATTCTTACAATGCCAGGATGGCCCTCATGAAGGGAAGCCAAGACCCTAGACCTCATTGAGGTAGGAATAACAACTCTGCTGCCCCACAGCAGACAACCCTGAAAAGTGGATAACTCATGTTTCTTAAGCCAGAAACTCTAAAACTCAGTACCTGGACAACTCTCTGGCCATCCAGACAAAACCCAGGATAATACACGAGTGAGTGTGAGGTCCGTGGCTGATTCAGCAGCCACATCCCTGCCATTTAAAGGTGACTCAGGCAGTGCCTGAATGAAAAGGATGTTGATGGCAGGGGCAGGGTCAGCCTCTACCACTTGTAAGGGTAATCTACTAAGGCCATCAGCATGGCCCATTTCTTTGCCAGGTTTGTGAACTAAAGAAAAATCATAGGCTGACAGAAAGATGGACCATCTCAGCATTCTGGGGGAGATGATATGGGGGGTTTGTTTGTTTGTAGTAAACAACCCCAACAAAGGCTTATGGTCAGTGTAGACCGTGAAATGTCTGCCATATAGAAAATCATGGAATTTTTTAATCCCAGCAACAACAGCCAAGGCTTCCCTGTCTATCTGAGCATAGTTTTGCTCAGCAGAAGACAAGGTTCT